ATACCGAGGACTACGAGGGTAGTCCCAGAAGTACCTGACCTAACAAAGAAAACACAAAAAATTTGGGAAAAAATATCTTTATTTCTCTACATAGTCTCCTTTTAGCTCAATACACTTTTCCCAGCGATGTTCAATAGCTTCGATACTCTGTTTATAGTGGGAATCGTCGAGCTCCTCAAAATAGCCATCAACCGCAGACTCCACCTCTTCATTGTTGGCAAATCTTTTACCACCAAGCCATTTTTTCAAGTTTGGAAACAGAAAATAATCCGAGGGGGCTAAATCTGGCGAATAGGGTGCGTGAAGAAGCAATTCGAACTTTAACTCATTGATTTTGGCCATCGCGATAACGGATGTGTGAACTGGTGCATTGTCTTGATAAAACAAAATTTTCTTTTTCGCCAAATGCGGTCGTTTTTTCTTGATTTCATCACTCAAACGCTGCAATAAGTTTCGCATAATACTCGCCGTTGATTGTTTTTTCCTTTCTGAAAATAATCAATGAAAATTATCCCACGCGCATCCCAAAAAACTGACGCCATGACCTTGCTTGCAGATGGAACTGTCTTCGCCTTCTTTAGAACAGATTCTCCCCTTTCAGTCCATTGTTTTGAATGTTCCTTCGTCTCAGGTGTGAAGTGATAGACCCATGTTTCATCCATGGTTATGAATCGACGTAAAAACTCGGCTTTATTGCTGCGAAACTTCGCCAAACACTCGATTGAAACATCCTCACGATACTGTTTTTGTTCCAATCGCGGCACCCATCTTGCGCACAGCTTTCTCATGTCCAAATTTTCAGTCAATATGCGATGCACAGCACTTTTTGAAATGCCTAACCATGTCTGCTAACTCGCGCACTTTCAGTCGACGGTCATCCAATACCATTTTGTGGATTTTCTTCATCATTTCTGGCGTGGTCATCTCATTTGGTCGACCACTACGATGTTCGTCTTGGCAGCTCGTACGGCCTCGTTTAAACTCTGCCACCCAATATTTTACTGTTGTAAACGAAGGAGCAGACTCCCCCAGAGTAGAAGCTAGCTCCGCTTTCATATTGGTTGGACTGAGGCCTTTCAAATGAAAGTATTGTATCACATGACGATGACCAATTTTTTCCATGTTTACAAATTCACTGAGACCGTTCACTATTATTGGCTGCCAAACAAATACTAAACAACGTAGCGTCGTCAAACTTCAAACTTAAGCTTTATAAAGTTGGTACTTTCTACCATAGTCATTCTTTTCAAACAACAACCACCATCTATACGTCAGGTCAGGTACTTTTGGGATTACCCTCGTATTAAATAGATTTTATGTCGGTCACGAGTAAACGTGGATTACATTATCTGTATGTGTATGTGTGTGTATGTTGCTAGATTGGTTTTTCGGACTGCGGGGGAAACATAGCTGTGGATACTTTTCCGATTTTCTGGAAGAAATACTTCGCGATTTCTTTTCTATTGTTTCGCTCACAATAAAAGCACGGCAAGAAATCTGATTCAGTTCGCGTGGCTAGAGATCCGATGAAAATGTATGACTTAAAAACGATATCTCCGTTAACGCAATTGGAAATCCTGATCTCTTTAGCGATCTCAGGCCTTTGTTAAGACAAACAACAACTGACTCAACAAAGAATCCCAAGAATTTTTCTCTCCTGCAATCAGATTTTCGTTTGTTTTCCAGATGACAAAAAATCTGTTGCGCGAATAAAGTGATTTTAAACGGAAAAACATATTAATCCGCACAATTAGATAAGCGCCAGACGGAAAGTCAGTGACGAGAAATGATGTTGCGATTGAAAACATTCGTCTGAACATTCAGCCATATTAACATTTTGATCGATGGAAATGCAATACCACGTTTTGGTATTCCTAAAATTGGTTATTCGAAGGTTTTTGGGATCGCTCTATTCAATGATTAACTTCAAAATTATTAATTTAAGGTGGATATATAAGAAGAATATGGTCAAAAATCGGGAACAGGATAAAACCGTAACAAGAACTTTGAAATATTAAATCTTGAGTATTTTAAAGTCATTCTCTTCAATGATGCAGAAGTTGAAAAATAAAAATTCGATAATTATATTATAACACATTATTATAAAATATACTTGTTATTTCATATTGTGTTACACTTTACAGATTTTAAATAATAAGAATTTTCTGTATTTTCATTATTCAACTTTTCTTTTCAGAGCAGAGGTGCAGTTTCATCTCAGTGAGATAAAATTATGATTTTAGTCGTTACATTAGATTCATTATTTTGAATTTAAGAAATTTTGACTTTGATTCTTGAGTAGAGTTTGTATCGAAAATCAATCATGATTAATTCATCAAAAATATCGAACTGAGAAGATCGATTCTGTGAAAATCGATATAGAAAAGATCATTAGATGTCTTTCCAAATCCGCAGATATCTATCTATGGCTGCGTTCCGAAATAGTTTTCAATATGCTGCAAAATAGTAAAACTTTTTTACAAAAATAGTTTTAGGAAATTACTGATTTCTGACTAATTCCGCGCATTATTCCAAGATAGTGCAAATTCGGTAATGGCTATTAACTTATGTTAGAGAGAGAGAGAGAGAGAGAGAGAGAGAGATATAAATAAGTGTAAAAAATGTCACCAGTAAAATACACGATAATTGAACGTCGTGAAAATAAAAATAAAACATATGAAATATTTTCTTCGTCATTTGATGATGAACTTTAAGGATCATCTTCAATCACATTTGCGATACTTTGCGCAGCAAATAAAATTGGTGTTAAGTTGGCCATTATTCCACAAATTTACTTTCAATCTTTACATTCAGATGGGTTATACTCTGTTAATCACTGTACGATACTGCAAATGAGTCCCGTTTTCCGCGCTGCTGACCATTTATTGACGATTTTCAAATGGCGCTTTCAATAGCAGTACCAATACCTTCTTTCGAGACGCGGTCTGTGAATAGCGACTGTACAGCTTTCATACATGACGAATTGAAAATCGATTTTCTGTTAAAAGAGTCGATTTACGTAAAAATCAAATTGACGACAATCAATTTTCGTTGAGAGAAAATCGATTGGAAATCGAACATCCCTAGCTAAGACAACGGAGAACAATGGAGTGGGCATGAACGTCCTACAGTAATCTCTCCGCAGCTGCAATCGAGTTTCCCGGCCCCTATTTTTCCCGGGAAAACTCGGTTACACCATAGAGTTGTATCTTCCGTGTACATGCACGAAACGCAGCCCTTGCATCAACCTGATTCGGCCTCCAACAGCATTATGCCGAAATACAAACAACTCCACGAAGACAACGAGTGATGACGGGCAGACTCCGACGATTCGAATGTTCCACGGCGCCCGAGCATCATATCGAACAGAGACGGCGTTATCGCGTCTCCGACGCGATAACGGCGCACTTCATGTACGCTTTAACAATCAGCAAATGACGCGGACACGCTTCCGTCGTTATCAATCAACGTAACACGTCACTCAATAAGTTCGTAGGATGACATATAAATGGCGCTACTATTGACAAATCCATATGATTTTTAGGAAGTACTAACCTTCAAATGATACGTGTCAAAATTTCATGACAATCGGACGTTTAGTTCACAAGTTACAGTGGTTTTAGTGACGCACGACGTCGACTCGTTTTAGCAAGGCTTCAGTTTCGGCAATCACTTCTTCATTGGAGCCAAATCTCTTTCCCTGGAGCTTTCCCTGCCGATTTGACTCTGGAGTGTAGTGATGGATCCATGTTTCATCCGTTGTCACATACCGCATCAAAAAATCCTTTTTATTGCGCTGAAACAGCTCCAAACAGCCCGCTGAATCGTCGACGCGTTGCTAAAACGAGTCGACGTCGTGCGTCACTAAAACCACTGTAACTTGTGAACTAAAAACGTCCGATTGTCATGAAATTTTAACACGTATCATTTGAAAGTTAGTACTTCCTAAAAATCATATGGATTTGTCAATAGTAGCGCCATTTATATGTCATCCTACGAACTTATTGAGTGACGTGTTAGATCAGACTCGGCGGTCCTTGGCGAGTTTCTTCAAAGCGCCGCGTGAGGTAGGACGCACCACGTGTTTAAAGGCGAATTTACACCTTAGCAGAAAAGCAGAAAGCAGAAAGGCAGCATCCAGTCAGAAGTCGCGCTGATAGCGGATAGTCTGTCTCTCTCTCTTGCGAAAGTTATTCTCTGTCACTCTCTTAGCTTCTGCTGTTCTGCTTTTCTGCCAAGGTATGAATTCGTTCTAAGGGCGGATTCACACCTGGGCAGAAAGCAGAAAAGCAGCAGCCAATCACAAATGGCGCTGATAATCTGTCTCTCTCTTGCGAGAGTTTCTCTCTCTGTCACTCTTTTGGCTGCAGCCTTTCTGCTTTTCTGCCCAGGTCGTCCAGGTTCCGCCCTTAGGGCGCATTCACACCTGGGTAGAAAAGCAGAAAGGCAGCAGCCAATCACAAATGACGCTGGTAGTCTGTCCTTCTCTTCTCTTTTCTCTCTCTCTCTCTCTCTCTCTCTCTCTCTTTTCTCTCTCTCTCTCTCTCTCTCTCTCTCAAGAGAGGGAGACAGACTATCAGCGCGACTTCTGACTGGATGCTGCCTTTCTGTTTTCTGTTTTTCTGTCAGAGTATGAACCCGCCTTAACTCTTTTTGGAGCATAGTGGAATAAAAAAAGTGTCCCGCTGTTTTAGCATTTTAGCATAATGGGGAATGTTTTCCAGCCTACTTTGGAATATTAAGGTAACTCGAAGCACAGTGGTACAATTCATCGTTTATAAGTAAGATGAATCCGCTTTGTTATATATTTTTTTAATAAAATTTCTATGTAACCAGAATCTCTTTTTCTTAAAGTCCTCTGCCCTAAAGAGTCAAACGCACATTCTCGGTGGAGGTCGCCGCGCGCGAAGAGCAAAGTCCATCCGAGCGACTTGTTATCGCATCTGCGAGCTTCCGTGGAAGAACGAACGAGAAAGACAGCAGGTCCGAAATTCACTCACCGATCGATCTTGTCCATCGTGGTGGGATGCTGCAAGATGGTCTGCTGCTCTGTCATCTCGACGACGCATTGCGTACCGAGTTCCAACTCTGTAAATGCGAAAGAAAAAAAATTACTCGGGATTCAGTTTTATTGTCGAGATCGGAATATGGACTTGTGTGGAGCACTTTATTCCCCGTCCGATCGCAGCCTCGGAACTTGCGCTCATCGCTGTCTTCGATTTATTTATTTTTAAGTAAACAAGCGATTTTGATCAATTATTTATCGATTTCCTTTTCCTTATTTTCTTTATCTCCTTTTTAAAGCCAGGTGTTTAGTTTCGCTTATTTTATTTTCTCTTTCCTTCGGGCCGTATTAGGGGAGTGCCAAAATGGACAACGAGCTCGAGAAATGTTAATAAAGTAGGGGGGATCGCCCAGATGTTACATCAAAAAAACATTAACACGATTTATCATTCTTGTACGCCTTGTCCGCATAGATCTCGCGTAAATGTAAGACGTCGCTCCGTTTCGCTGTACTGGGGGGAAAACTTAGCCGCGTACATATAGAAATGTTCCGCCGAATTTTTCGTATATTTTCAAGCCTCTAAGTTCAGCTGTAAAAATAGATACCAGACATAGAAATTTTCTTGGAAAGTTTTCGCATACTTCTCAGCCTGTGAATTCAGTTGTAAAGGTGTGGTAATGTCTCTTTGGAAATTTTCCTGAGAGAAGCGACCCGTCCCCTCTTCCCCCCTCCCTTCCACACACAATAGCCCCTCAACATTCAGTATAAGATTGCTAATATTTTCCAATCGTACGAATTCTTCTCTAGACATTAACACAAAACTGCCACCGTGACAAATGTGCTGCGTCGACTAATCGGTAAATAATAAATCAATATTGCGTACGATGAAAAAACCTTAACGACTCGCGCAAAAAGTTAAGGTCACCGGTCACCGTGGGTCTTTTATATCGGGCGAATCTCTTTGCACCAGCTGGCAAGTCGAGACGTCAACTTGGAAGTTTGCTGATACCCTTTTTATGAGCCGTTTTCGTCAGCCATTGAGCACCGCTCCGATCCACTTTCGTACTTTGCATTTCTGTCGCGAGCAACTTCGCAGCGGGGAAAGGTCAATATCCCGTGGGTGAAGTTTCCAAGCGGTGACGGGAGCAAACGCGAGATCGGTCGACGTTAAAATCAGTCGACATGAAAATTAATATCGAGTATCGTCAACGAGCTCGCGCCCGATCAAAGTTTCATTAAGCGCGGCGACGCAACGGAAGATCGAGACTTATCGCTTTTAATTATCCGCCTCGGCGGAACGTGTCGGCGCATAATAACGAGCGCGAACAGCGCGGCGAGGAGCGACGGAGGACGCGGCGACGATCGCTTCCACGTATACCGCGACTGCACCAATAAAAGTTAAAGTTACTTAAAGCCACGCGACTTTTCTTGTCATCGCGAAGGAACCGCAATAACGGCTCACGTTCCTTCCCCATCCCCCCTCTCTCACTCTTTTTCCTTCACGAAGGCTCCGCCGTCATTTCGCTTCCTCGGATTCGGAGATACTCTAAATGCGACGCGAACGATGCTGGCCGAGCCGCGGAAACCTATGGACTAAAGAATAGAGGGACGAAGTCTGAAAGTACTATTTGGGCAAGAGGGGTGGAAACTCAGGCATGTGGGGGAACTGCTTTCCGCCATATTAGATTCTCCCAGCTTACACATAGACACATCCCGAGTAGAAAAATTAATAGGGTCCTCTGGTAAGGACCTGATTATTTTTCCTTAACATTAATTGCGTCCTAGTAGGGATAGAAAGACAAGGGTCCTACAAGATGTGTAATAAAATGGTTTAACGGGTCCTTATAAGGCATATTATGAGGGCCTTATAAAGCAATATCAGCGGAGCCTTATAAAGCAATATTAATAGGACTTTATAAAAAAATATTTTTATTATTGCTTGAGTAAAAATATTTGTTCCTCTCATTCCAAGAAATTTAGACTATAATTTCTTTATTTCTTCATAACCTTGTTAGTATACAACAAGAATTTTTTTATTTTAAAAATATAGCATATTTTACAATAAAATATAGCATTCTTTACACATAAAAATCCTGCTACTGTTTTTATTAAAGTTTGTTGTATCTCAAAACGAAGGCAATACTAGAAAAATTCTTGGAAGAAACTAATGAATATGGCAACTAATAAAACTAATAAAATTTGCTTTTAATTGCGGTATAATTAAAAAAGAATCAGATAAAACGTACCTACTACTACTACTAAAACAATACTAAACTATGACAATTTTATTACACGCTTCAGATCTTACTAATTTTCTATAATAAAATTTGATTTTGTATATCTAAAGCATTCGCTTAAAAGATCTTTTTAAGGTCCACGTCAGTTTTCTATGTTAAAGTGTTATTTCGTAAAATCTAAGGCATCTCTAAAAAATCCTTCTAAAACCCTTCTGAGCTTTCTCTATCAAAGTATTATTTATTAGATATAAGGCACCCCTAAAAAATCCTTCTCAGCTTTTCCTATCAAAGCCTTATTTCGTAAAATCTAAGACATCCCTAAAAGGTCTTTCTAAGATTCTCATAAGTTTTCCCTATCAAAGCCTTATTTATTAAATCTAAGACATCCCTAATAAATCCTTCTAAGGCCCTCATCAATCTTTTTTATCAAAGCTTTATTTCGTAAAATCTAAGGTATTCCTAAAAGATCTATCTCGAGGCTTAATAAGGCATCCCTTTTTAAGGCATCCTACTTTCAGCTTTATTTTCATGAGGATGTCCCTAACAATTTTTTGCTCGGGATGTCTGTGAAATATTGTGACTAAGAGATTAGGTGCATATAAAAAAGTCGTCTTAATCGTCTTATCCTCAGATACTTCCTGGCCAATAAAACGATCCGTACATCTAAAAATGAACTTATAGGGCAATTATGAATATAAGATCCTACTATAAACACCGGTTTAAATTCTATTTCAAGGCTACGGTCTACTTGACGCTACAAATGCATTGAAGCGTTAAGTGAACCCCAATAGGAGAAACAAATATGGCGGCTCTCCCCCGCCGCGGACGTGTTACCTCGCTGTAGCTTATGCTCCGTCCCCTTATTCTTTAGTCCACGCGGAAATCCCGAAGCCTTCCCTCGCGAGTATCGCAGGGTAAACACCACACCCGCCGTCAGCTTGTCCCGAGCAGACAGGTGCTAAACTGTTGCAGCTCGTAAACGGAGACATGCGGCCGAGAGTGGAGGAACACCTACGGAGTCCGGCGGAGTTCTCGGAAAAGAGCGGACGAGCGAGTCGATATTTCCATTCCATTTTACGCAGCGCTCGGTCTACCGTCTGCCCGAGTGCTAAATAAAAAAGAGTGTGAGAGAGAGAGAGAAGTACGGCCGGCTGAGAGCTGCTCGAATCGTCCCAACCGCGTGGAATTCCGCGCGCGTACGCTCGATAATAGCTAATTACGATAATGGAGATGCACTCTTTGCCCTCCACCTGATTGTCCAGCCCGAACGCGGCGCGATTGGTCCGACCGATCTCTAATCCTCGCGCTCTGCCGCGCACGATCGTCCCGTGCGTCACGCGTCTACACGTCTACACGCAGGAGAGAACGAGCCGTGCGCACGCGAGGAACGCGTGTCGGCCGGACGGAAAATGAAAGCGCTCCGTGCTCCGTCGGAGTTCGACTTTGCTCGCTACGGGTTATTTCTCATCGAAATGCCTCGAACGGGGTCACTTTGCGCTAGAGACCGTTTCTCTCTCTCTCTCTCTCTCTCTCTCTCTCTCTCTCTCTCTCTCTCTCTCTCTCTGCCCCTTCCTCGCTCTAGTCGTGCACTTTCTCTGGTGAATTTCTTGCGAGCGCCGTTTCGTCCGCTCCGTCGTGTCGTTATTCGCCTCGTCGACGAGACGAGCGATCTCCGTCGCGACACCGTCGAGATATTAAAAGGGCCCGGAGGGCTTCCGCAGAGTTACACTGACGCGATCCTCTCCGTTGTTCTCTCTCATCCTCTCTTCGGTGAAAAGCGTAGGCACTGCATTTCATCTGGCACTCGACGAGTTCCTCCTCCGGCAGAACGATACTTCAGACCGGCCGTTGTTCCTGCGCATCCTGCGCCGGATATCGGGCGCGTAATCGCACAATACAGAGACATCCAACGTCCGATTCTTACGAGAGAAACGTGCAGTTTCCCCAGCCGTTTTCCACTCGCTTTGGTGTACGATTAGGAATGCTTGATTTCGAAGCGATTTTTCAGAAAATCGATTGTTGGCAATTCGACTTTTACGTAATCGACTCTTTTAATCCTTTGAGGCATAGTGGTAAGTATACTTACCACCTATTTATTCTCACATTTTCATGAAATATTTCATATTTGAGGGATTCTTGCGTCGGGTTTTTTTGCGTTTTTTAGCTCCTTATATGATAATGGGAACATATATGAAAGGTTGAAAAGTGTTTTGCATAAGTTGTCCATTTATTATAAATAAACAAAGTGTGAAAAATATACATTTTTACAGAAAAAAAATCATTTTCCACGAACTATGAGTGAATTTTTTGCTCAAAATCGAAATTTGGGGTTTTTTTGGGTTGCTAATTACGAATCTGAGATCCAAATTCCAAAATTAATTTTCCAAGATTGCGGATTCAAGATTATAGAATTTTTATTAAATCAGCTAAAATTGTACTCTGGTTAGTTTGGGCGACGCACCTGGGCAAAAAAGCAGAAAGCAGAAGAGCAGAAACCAAGAGAGTGACAGAGAGAAGAACTCTCGCAAGAGAGAGACAGACTATCAGCGCGAGTTCCAATTGACTGCTGCCTTTCTGCTTTCTGCTTTTCTGCCCAGGTGTGAATGCCTTTAGTCGTTCAAAAATGGTCACCAAGACGGAGAACACATTTGCAATATTGTGCAGTGATTAACAGAGTAGTATAACCTATCTGAATGTAAAGATTGAAAGTAAATTTGGAATAATAGCCAACTTAATGCCAGTTTTACTTGGTGCATAAAGTACCGCAAATTTGATTGAAGATGATCTTTCAGAAAATTTATTATCAGACAACGAAGAAAATATTTCATACATTTCATAGGTTTGAT